TCTAATTAACTAAATAGTAGTGTAACGTAAAAATTATGGTAACGAATAATTAATAATTCTTCCGTTTCATCTTTGCTGCGAAAGGATACGCGGTACACAAAATGCCGAAGTTTTTCGTGGCAGTCGACGCGTTAAATAAAAATAAACGAACATGTTTCTTCCAGTTCACGAAACTTCGGCGATAGCGTGTTAATGAATCGAACGTCTCGAATTTCACGACAGGGGACGGGCCAGTTCGTGACTCGTGAGTGGAAAACCGGACGAAAACGTCTGCGTGATCGCGATCCACCGAGCCGTGCTCGTTTTAATGTATTCCCCGGATAATTGCGGGACTAATCGCACGTAATTAGGCCCCTAATGAGGGCCACCGGGTCGCGTGTAACGCGTGCACACGCTTCGCTTTATGAATCCGAACAAGAGCGAGAACAAGACGCGCGCCGCGCAAAACGGTCTCGCGCGTGTTATACGAGCGAGCCGGGGCGAGATCGGGCTGCGCAAACCGCTAATTAAGAAACGCCTGAAACATTGATTGGCCGCTGCATCGACAATTAGAACCGTCTCTGCCCGCATCGTTTTGTTATGCTGCTTATTTCTCGTTTAACGTTAGAACTACCGAGCATTTCATACGATTCCGTATGTAATCTATGTAAAAATTGTAGCAATATATTATTCTCAGTCGCTTCGGGCATTCATTGTAGTATTCGAGTGAAACTATTTGCTTTTAAAGTCATTTTCAGTGTTCAATGCTTCTGAGGTATCAATAATTGCGAAACAAAGTTGTTTTGACTGGTACTGCAGTTCTAGTGTTAAAGAAATTTCTAAATTGTGTATAATATGATTGAAAATTAGGTTCATTGAATTGTGGAATAAGATTGATTAATTTATTGAAAAAGGAGACACTGAAGATTTGTAATATATTCACTGGTAATATTCATTCTATTCGATATTGCTATTGTGTTAAAATTTTCTTTCAACTTCATCATGTTGATTAGTATTGAAGTGAAACTGCTTATTTTTCAAATCATTTCGGACATTTAACGCTAAATATCAGGTACCAATAATTCTGAAATAAGAAAGTTAGGGATTTTTTGGTGTTACGTCTAATACGAGTGATTAAATAGATTATACATTATTTTCTATCGAAATTATTTTTCCATATTTCCCGCACTACAGTAGTTTACGATCAGTCGTTTCAAAGTAGGCAATGACAGTACTACAACGCAGTAAGAATGATTGTCTACACATAGTACTTTCCTATATAAAAAAACCACAAAAATATACATTTGTAATGTCGCAACTGTCATTAGTTCCATAAATAGACGAGAATTTTCTTTGCCCTCCTAACCAACATATTTTTTCAAAACTCGGTTACGCACTATAAATTCACAACACGAATATATTAAGAGCGCTTATTAATATTCATATATTTCCGTAAAACTGTTATCGGGCGTTCCACTGTGGTTTAACAGCCGAATAAATCATCCAAGTGGAAAACGCCGTCCGAGAATGACGTCTTTCTGGCAAATCCAAGTAATTCGAGCCGTCGAAAGAAGGAATTATGTGACGTCGGTAATCAAGAGGTAGCAAAGGAAAAAATGCCGGATAAACTGATTTAAATGTTTACCTTGCTTATCTCCCGCAAATTGCAAGCGTGCATAATAAGTTTAATTAACGGCCGACTCGAGAGTCGACACGCGAACCAGCCGCGCGCCGTTTAGAGGACCTTCTAAGTCCTCGTGCGCGTATAAGGGATGCAAATCGACGGTTGCGCTCAACTTGTACGATGCTAATTACGCTCGAAACATAACTTTAACAGGCCAATCTTTCCTAATCTCGGCCGGGCAACCGGCTTTTCTAGCCGAGCCACCGACCGTCGTTGCGGAGGGCTCGCTTTCCAAGTTTTCGACGATACGGGCCGATTAAAAAATATTAATAATACCTCTCGGGCAACGTAAACATGCGGTAAGAGACATATTAGCTGCACCGCCGGGTATGTTATTAAATAATCTACTCTATGGGGCCGATAAGTCATGCGCTCGTAGATCCAACGTGAATCGAAAGGCTATTTTAGAAGTATTTTATGCGGTTTAGAGAATATAGGAATTTCGCTGAGATTTATTCCTCATTGGATTTACTATTTTTATAATTCTCCAAATCACATAATAACTGAGTTTTTGAATTAGTAACAAATTATAATATACTGGTATTAATAAATCAAGCTTCGTTATTAACCTTTTGCATTCCAAAGTCTCTCACTCGTCAATTAACTCGACACAGCAAAGTTATGTTCGCATCAATATACGAAGTATTCAAGTAAAACAGTTTCCTTCCTCAAATTTCAATTTCTCGTTCCATTAGTTTCAGAAAATGTCGTCTGCATTATGTTCAGCATCCCCAATGAAACACTTCCAGAGCGCAGAGGGTAAGTAAATTGAAGTCGAAACCTCGACGCGAGTTTCTCGGAGTATCACGAAACAAGGGGTTGAAAGAGAAACGGAGCAAAAATTCCAAATTGCAATTGGCAAAATGAAATTTGACGAGCAAAGAGAATCGATTAATAAGCCTCTCGAAGATTCAGAGGAGTGAAGAAGGTGGAAAAGGGTTAGGGTAGGAGGAGAGAACAGCGAAAGCCTGTTTCCACCGCGGCACCAAGATGGCGTCGCGTCGCGTCGCGTCGGGGCCGGCTCCTCCATTCTCCCGGACTCAATTCACAATACCACCCTCCTGCGGCTCCCCTCTGGCTCTTTCCCTTTTTTGGAGCGTGTTACGCCCATAGAATACGTAACGCGACGCCTGTGATATATGCACGTAATGCATCTGGAGCGTCCGGCACGCACCTTCGTCGCACAGTGCGAATCGCGTGTGTGCATGTACGCGCGTACGAATGCCGCGCGCGCCACCCCTCGCGATCCCTCATTAGCATATCAATCCCCTCGTTATTCCAGGACCAAGCTCGTTGGAAACGCGACGTTAAGGGCTGAAGACTGCCCCGCGATTCTCAATGGAGAACGTCCGTTGCGTAACCTTCGGAATCAATTTCTTTCGCGATCTTCCAGGTACGCGTGGCCAGCAATTAATCCCCTTGTGCTTTCAATTAGCTGGTTGTGTAATTTATAATCGTGACATACTGATTCCTTTTGTTATCAACCCTCTGCACTGGATTTACTTTCAATTTTGCTGGCTGGAAACTTATATTTATTCTTAAGGGATTGAATTGAAGTGATTTAAGAATTCAACGTGTTATATTTAGTTTGTTTGCTATTGTTATTATGGTAAGGTGGAATTTTTATAATCTTTTCCATTGTGGTACTTTTTCAAATAGTTTCCAATGTTCTATAAGAAATTTGTGTTGTCATCTAATAGATATTGTTTAGAATTGTAAGAGATCGTCTGTTGCCTTTGAAATCAATTTCCTTTGCGATCTTCCATGTGATCACTAATTAAACTTTTCGTGTTTTCAATTAGCTGTTTGTGTAATTTATAATTGTGATATATTGATTTCATTTGCTTTTAATAGTTCGAAAATACTTTGAATGACATTTATGACACATTGACTGTAAGTACTGTTTAGAATTGTAAGAGCAAGTACGCAACGAAACTTCGAAAATTAAGTGAATTTGTTAAGAAATCTAAGCACTATTTTCATTAAATTGTTTGAAAATATAAGTGAATTAAAATTCATTAGTACGCGGGTCTACTTAAGAAGAAATTCAGATTTCATATGCTTTCTTTCCCATGAAATATGTATGAGACGTGACAGTTTTAATTTAAAACTTGGTGAACATTAATTCTGGAACTACTTCTAGCTGGTCTTTAAATAAAAGACTGTACTTTACTGCTTGTACTAAGATCCTTGTTTTTTCATAGGTAATTTCACCATATTACCGAGCACTTCTCCCTCTGTCTGTTCATCGCTGACTGCTTCTACTTAATTCCGAGCGGAATGTCTAAACACTTCGGAAATTTATGGAGTGATCACAATAGCATACTAAAAGACGACTCGTGATGCAGTGCGTGAGATAAACACGGAATTTTGTCTACGTTCCCGATAATTGACTGCTCGCTCTCTTAAACGATATAATTTGAGGCCGGCCGAGTACGTTCGCACCCTCCGCGAGTAATTACTGTATTAATTATACTGTAATTATTCGTGGCAGCATTCTATTGTGCTAGCAATTTTTCCGATCGCTGATGTGCAAACTCGATTAAATAAACCTACATATAATAAACCAAATTTGACTGATACGTATGCTAAAGGAGTTATACAAAATTCTGATAAATTAAAAATTTCAAAGATAAATTTGTCGACCCCCTATTCTCTCTTTTTAAAAATTTTCTGGATAAAAATACTTAATAATAAGGAATCAAGATCTAGGTATATGATTTTTAATGTTTTATGATCAAAACATTTAGTAATAAGGGATGAAGATGTAGATATGTTTTTTAAATATTTTATATAATTTCGCTTTATAATTTATCTAGATCAAAATATTTAACCCCTTGCCCTGCAATATCGTGTCAGACACGAGGCGAAGATTTCTAATATGGTTTAACAAACATAAATGTCATTGAGTTGTGTTAAGTTTAAATGAAACATTATTGTCCTTGTTAGCAATTTCTGTGGTTTATACTAAATCTATACATAGAAGGAGCATGGAATGTTTTCTTTTACTAGGCAAAGGGTTAATAATAAGGGATGAAGATGTAGATATGTATTTTTAAAGTTGTATGAACTTTCGCTTTATAATTTTTCTAGGTTAAAATATTTAGTAATAAGGGATGAAGATGTAGATATATATTTTTTAACGTTTTATGCACTTTTGTCCTATGATATTTCTGAATCACAATGTTCAGTGATAAAGAATGAAAATCTGGATACACGTTTTTTAAATTTCCTTATACGTATTTTATGAGCTTCGTGTTAGGGGATGCTACCGGTGCGATCCGAGAAAATGGCGGCAAATTCGTTGGTCGTGACTCGATTACGAGACAACACGTACCTGCGTTTCCGTCAACGAGAGCGCCTGCGCCAGCTGTTTCCTTTCGGCGCCGACCACGTAGTGATTTTTCTCGAACGCGTGCTCGAGTTTCAGCAATTGGCTGGGGCTGAACGCTGTCCTTATTCTCTTCGGTTTCCTGAATGGTTGCAGGAGGAACCCGGGGATGTCGGGACCTGCAATGAGTTTGGTTACAAAAAATATTACAAAAACATTGTCACAGATAGTTGATTCTTATAATGATTCCGTATGTGATGTTCAATTTATAGCTTAACGCAAATCAGAATATAATTCTGATCATTCCGAATCATTCCTGATTTCTTCTTTTTGCAATTATTAAAAATCGGAGTCAAAAAAGGGTTGAAGTAAGGGGTGTATATATTTACGATAGTATGGGATTATTTCATGTATAGCAGTGGTCTCGAAATAGATTTAATCGCTAGTAGAAAACACGAAAGAAACAAAGGCTATAAAATTTTGCTTGTCAACAGCGGTAGAGATTCCATAATAAGTTATCTCTTTTATTTCCCGATTTTTACAGCTTTATTACTAGACGGCGGATTTTATGCATTTATAACGTGCCCGAGCGTCCCAAAAACAGTAAAATGACAATCCTCAATGTCAGTTCAATAATTATCTTATCCGCGGTCAGATAAGGATCACAGTAAAAACTACCGACCAGTTGAATAGCCATTTTGAAATTCATCTGTAAAAATTCCAAGTGTGCATCCATTGTAACTTTAATTGACATATAATTCAATTCGCACATTACTAAACTTAAAGTTCTTTAATCATTTCTCTTTCTTCAGGAATGGATCATTTTGACTTGTCTAGTAGTTTCTAGTGTTAACTCCGACCCAATTTCGTTCTCGAAACACGAACAGACCGAAAATCGCCGGTCAAACAGAAGTTTGTCGAGTCCGAACAGGAATTCCAACGACGGTGGAAAAGACGCGACGAATTCCCCGATTAGCAAAGGAGACACGATGAAAGATGAACGATCCAAGGGAAAATTTCGAATTCAGCGGCGATCGCGGAGGCAGGTCTAGAGCCAGCGACGAGGATCGAGCGATTTATCGTGGCGAGCTTTCCGGGCAAAGTATCCCGGCCGACTTCCGGCAGACGAAGGTATCGGTCGATCGACATGACTCTTTCGAGGCGGAATACTCAATTACCCGCGCAGACTTCTAGGTAACTCGCGGCCGCCTCGTGCGCCTCGTTTTCTCCTCGGTTATATGCATATCTGGCCGGCCTCTCATGAGCGGATCTCCGAGCTTCGCGTGTCGTTACTCACCCTCGCGACGACAGGATCGACGATGACGACGGTTAAAAATTAATTAGACCTTAATGAATTATACCGCGTCATCGCGTTGTCATGGTCGTCCGAGAGACTTGGAATTTGATCCTTTACGTGCGAGAATATGATCACTGCGGCGTCAGTATGGTTATTATCGATGTGTTTATCAATATTTTGAAGACTTTGTCTCTGAGTTGACAGCTTCACGAAGCTGAGACGTGTCGGGAGAATAATTTGAAAATTTCGTTTGCATTTGTTCCATTCGAATAAGGTTTTCATCGATTATTAAGAACCATGTTAGAAATTATTGTGGGGAATTTTGAAGCGGTAACTCTTTATTAAGAAATTTTTTAAATTAAATAACTAATATTTGTTAAAGTAGATCGTGCCGAACTGCACCCGTCAAAATGGCGTTTTCTTGTTTAGCAATGACTGGTATCTAGTATTTACAAAGTAAATAATTTCGCTTCAATACTATAATTGGTATATGAAGGAACAGAGGAAAGTCTATTACTACAGTTTTTATAAGAATTACATATTGATCATGTTAACCCCTCACCCTACGAGTTCTTTCTGAACCATGATCGATATAACTACTTTCTTATTAACAATTTATAGAAAACAAGAGAAAGAATCAAGCCATATCCTATTCTAAAGCACAGTCACCGATAACAAAGGAATAATAATTCGAATCCAAACGAACCGAATAATATTCATATTTCTCAAATTTTATTTCGAATCTCCACGACTCTGACACGGTATTGTATACCAAGACATACAACTCTCTAATATTAACATTAACATTTAACACAACTTCACACACAATACACGAAACGAACAAAAGTAATACCAAATTACTTCATTGAATCGTTTTACTCTTATTCCGCCGAATATAACCGCATTAGGTAGCATTATTTGTAATGCAAAAACGCAAATAATCGTCATTGACTGAATGATAATAATTCGATTTGGACGCCGGCGACCCCCGTGGCATTCAACGTGCTAAAGGGTACGACTGAATGGCGAGATCGGCGAAAGAAAACCGCAGGACGAAGAAGAGGATCGATGAAACGAGCGAAATGCCCTGCCGGATCCATTCCGCGGCGTCCTCAATGATCGCATTGCTATGCAAAGGCTCGGGCAAATGCTTGAAATGTTAACTGGGTCTTTAGGCGCACGCACGGTACGCATATCTCGCGGCAGAAGGTCGCTGGATGCCCGCTTTAATGGCCGCATCACGTATGCACGCGTACACGCGCTTGAGTAAGATGCGTTTCCACGTGCGAGCATTCTTACGAGTTGCGCCGTAACTGCGCCGGTAAGTTACATTCCTCCATCCTTGATGGATCACGGACTGACTCGGCTGTGTGGTAAACAATGCCCCGGTAGGTACCTCGATCCCGATCGAGGGACGATCGCTTGTCACAGGCGAGATCGATCCGATCGTTCTGTGAAAACCCACCTACTACGTCGTCTTTCTTATACCTTTCTTGTCGGATCGTATGTCTTCTTTCATAATTAACATGAAAATTGAGCTTGTCAGACGTTTCGCCTATTTATTTCAGCCTTTTCGTGACGTTCTTTGTTAACTCCTTGCCATTCGATGACGAGTGAGACCCGCGATGAAGATTTCTAGATTAATTCAATAAAAACCAATGCTGTTCATGAACGGTTCAAGGCAAAAAACTAGAATGGACAATTTTGCTGCTTTTCTCTCAAATTTCTGATAGTAGAATGTTACACGAGCTTAGTAGAGAATGTAAATAATCCGTCAAGGGGTTAATCGTTTCGAGAAATGGGAGAATACTATGATTCTGTGTCGATGTACAGTACGAGGGTTTAATTGGCGATTAATGAAATGCATATTTTATTCTAATTCTGGTTGGAATATTTAAAGGAGTTAATTGTCGTTTTGCTTCGAAATAGTATTGCAGTGGTTGCAGTGATATGTAGTATTTAATAATTAGTATAACTGTTATTGAAAAAGAAGAGAGATATTGTTTGCTTTTATTCGCTGAATACGAAGAGAACAATTCATCGAAAAACAAAGCGAATCTTATAGTCCTGGCATGGATCGAATAAGACGAAAAACTTACCCGGTAGTTTGGAGAATTGGTATGAAAATCTCAGTGAGTCAATTTTCCTCATTATCATCGTGAAAACGTTGTTTCAGGTTCTTCCCGCTTAGAACAATTTTCTTATGACAGAAACTGACGATCGCGGTCGGCGACTTTATACCGTCGTCCTATAGTTACAAATGGACTGAAAATAATTCATGGTTAAGTTACCCTATGAATATATGAGAATAAGAAGCTTTTTGTATTCGCGAAACAATCGGAATTTATTATTCAACCAGGCAACCGGCAGCCGGTTGTCGTTTTCTCGGCTAATTAATTATAGAAGCGGTACCATTCTTCGTTCACCGTGCATGACAGATGTCAGGCATTCATGGTCGATCCCGGGATCAGTTTCTATTCGCCGCAAGCTTTCCGCGCGACAACTACGCTAATCGTCCGACAGATTTTCTATAGAATAATCGTCGTAATTATTAAACAATTATTGAAACATCGGTTCGTTCCGCGATTATGTGGCGTAACTTTCAAAGAAGAGATAATTGGCTAGGCATTATAATCATTTTCTTACGACGTTACATTGTAGGACTTATGAAGCGATAGACTGTGCTATCGTATATTAAATGCAATTTGCAGTATTCTTAAGCTTTTGCATTCAATTATATTCTCTTCGAATCCATCCAATTTTCCTTAAAAATTCATTTGTTACTTGCCTCCAATTTATTCGATTTATTCCCTTGATTCGATATACTGATATTTCAATATTTTATCATTAAAAATTATAATATTAAAGAATCAATGGGATAATATAATCTTTTATCTACGATTATTGTAACTGAAACTTCCTCCGACGATTCTAAACAAAGCGAGTGTCGTATGAGGTTAGGATTTACGATTATTTATGCCAGTTAATGCCTATATTGATTTCTTGAAAATCAATTTTATCTTCGTGACTGGACGTTTCCTTGCATTCCCAGTATTTTTTCAAGCTAGTATATATCCCTTTCTCATATCGTTTCTTTAACGTGTCAGTCCAATCGTTCAGCTATAGCATTTTCAATTATACCCTATTCCCTTTGCTGCGATCTGTTCATCCCCTGTCCCACCACTATCCCTCTACATTCGGTGCACTGAATTATTTCCGGAGTTAATTTTAACCCCATTTCATGCTAATCTGAATGTTAAATTCACATTTACGAGGGACTTATAGCATCGCGCTCCTGTTGCGAATTATTGACGCTAAGTATTGGCGTTGGGTGTGATTTTAGAAAGAATGTACACCGTTGCGTTATCGTCCTTAAATATTTTACGAAATCAAAGCAATATGATTAATGAAATAGGAAACAAAGAGGCAGGATCAGTGGTGAAAGGCTACTTTTATTTCCATCGGAATGAAACGAATTAAAAATAGAAATCTAAGTATGTAATTACACGAGTATTAATCATTTGTTCAGGAGTTTCGCTGTAAAAATGGTCTAAAATTGCCGACTGTGCGGAAAAGCGAACATTTTATTCCAACGACAGTCGAGTGTTAAGTTTGAACAAGAAAAAAGTGTCATCTGTACATAACTGACATTAGCCAGACACTTAACGTGCCAATTAAACTCGAGAATGTTGAGAAACGGTATCATTATCCCTCACACCCTTATTTCCACTTCACTCCTGGAAACCCCCATGCCTACTATCCACTTTTCCTTCCCCGCCACCATCTCCCAACCTTTCACATTCCCTTAGAAACCCCCACTTAACCTCTCCGTTCTTCATCCCATCTCTATCATTTCCCTCGCCCCG